TAGGACTTTTAATAGATCCCAAGACTATAGGGGCTGGGAGGCACTCAGAGGTGATCTGGTGCTGAAGCTCCTGTTTAAGAAGCCACCCAGGAAGACTCGGTGACCTCCAAGGTCTCTGCTCTTGTTGGGGCAGAGCTGGGACCAGCCCTTGTCTAGGGTTTGCTTGGCCCCTGTTTATGGGTTTCGTCTATTGCAGCTGCCTCCACCAGCTCCCCAAATGGAAGCAGATATAAGTCAGGCTTTGAGTGGCCTCTAGGGTCCCAGACAACCCCTTCCCACCTGTGGTGCTTACTCTAGGTCGGTTGCCTTCTTAATTAACTCAGTTCGTTCAGTCTCGTTTTGAAGCCATAAGCCAGTGTTCTTGGAGGATCATCAGGTGCTGTCTCTGCCCTGAAGCTCTCCCTGGCTTTGCCCTGGGAGTGGGCAGGGGCTCCGACCAGGCCTGTGCCATGCCTGGGCTCCATCTCCAGCTGCCCTGCATCCAGTCGTCAGTGGGCAGACCTCATTCAAGGCCCCACTCACCCAACTACACACATGGTAGATGTTGAACCATCCGAGAGTGGGACCACATCTTCCTCACTTTGTACTCGTTAGAACGTTCAGCACAAAGTAACTAAGGAGAAAGAAGAGAGAAGAGGAGAGGCTTCTGTTGGGAGGGGACCTGCTTGGAATCATCCAAACCGCTAGCGATGTGGAAAAGACATGTGGGGTGGGGGCCTTGGTGTAGCTTTTCTTCTTCCCCATCAGGGAAAAACGACCTCCAGGGCTGTGTCTCCAGGTGCCTGGGTCAGCAAGTGGGAAGGACTGAGGTGTGTGTGTGTCTGTCCCAGCCCTTACTGGCTGTGAGGAAAACCTGACCCTAGGACCACAGAGGCTCTGAGTCCAGTGAGGGATTTACATAGACCTGGCACAAATCCCCAGTGCTGGCCTGTGGAGCCTCAGCCCTCTGCCCTGTCACCCAGCAGTCTTGTCCCTCATCCCCAGGGCTGAAAGGGTGCTGCCCGCCCTTCTGCCCTCCTTCACCTCATCCCTGCTGCTAGCACAGCGCTCAGCTTTGGCTGGCTGCTGGTACTTGCTTGGCAATTACTGAACGACATTTGCCAAGTGCTCATTATATCAGGGCTTACTCCTACAGCCGACACACGGGGAAGGTACTGATGGTCTCCCTTTTATAGCTGGGAAAACGGAGGCTCAGTTAGCAGGGCAGAATCAGAACCAGAATCCCGGAGGTCTGACTCCAGAGCCTGGCTCCGGCCCAAGCAGCCTTAGTCAGGAGCCTGGCACAATGCGTCCTGCCATGGATGCACTATGGCGTGTGTATGCCACTCTCATACACAGACAGTAGCTTTTACCACCCTGGAGACGCCCACAGAACCAGGCAGAAAACGCCCCCTTGCATTTCGCAGGGAGGTCCAGCCCAGTGTGAGTGTGGTTGGGGTTTGGCTGGTGCCTGCATGTCAGCAGGTGTGGCCTTTCCCTCTGTGGCCTCGGAGAGCATGGTGCCCCAGAAACAACCTGCAGGGCCTGAGCTCAGCCAGTCCCTGCGGTCCGAGGGGAGACAGGGCTGTTTCAAAACTACTTCGAGAATGTGCACGAGGTTAAGGGACTTCCCGGAACTGTGGCAGGGCAGGACAGTGGGGGGGGCGGGGGCGGGAAAGAGAGCTACCGTTCCTTCCAGTCGGCAAGATCACGGCTCATACCCCTGAAGCAAAAGGTAGGTTAGCAAGGGCAAGGCATAATAGACTTATCTATTCAAAGTTTTAGGTGACGTGGGAACCTTCGGAATGGAGACCCAAAGACCTGGGGTGACTGTGTTTTTATACTGAGGTTCACTGAGGAATGGACAGCCAAGTAGACGTGTGATTGGACAAAGGGGGACCCCGTTTACACAGACTGGGGGGACCTAGCCAGGTCTGTCTGTTTGGTGCTTGGCCTCCCTGTGTGGTGGTCCTTCCTGCCTGGTGTGGGGCAGGACGCCCTGGAATGAGAGTCTGTAAGGGAGAAGGGAGAAAACGGCTTTTTAGGTTTTATGCCCCTTTGAGGGAGAGAGGTTCTAATTTCTATGGCCCACCCTGGGGAAGAGGAATCTGGTTTCTGTGACTCACTTGGGTAGAGAAAGGAGAACAGGGCAGGTGAGAGAGACCTCGCTTCTGAGGCTGCCCCTGAGGCCTTTCAGTGGCCTTCACACCAAAGCACCGTATTTGGGGTATCATTTTCTGTGCCTTGGCAATAAGGACACACATGCCCCTCTCTCTCAGAGTGGACAGTCAGCACACTCCCTTCCACACTGACCTCTCTTCTCAGCCAGTGCAGCCCAGTGTGGCCCTCCCTGGGGCTCTCTAGACAGCTCGCCATCCTGTCTGGGCATTAGGACTCTGAGTGAGGCTCAGACAGCGGAGGTGGACAGACCTACTTCCTGTTCTTCCTTCCCTCGCTTAGCTGTGCTCCCTGAGGCAAGTTCCTCAACCTCTCTGAACCTCAGTTTCCTTTCTTTAAGTTGGTGATAATAACAGTACCTACCTCTTGGGGATTCTTTTTTTTTTAGAGGTTTTCGCTATAGGGTATGTGTGCTCGCCAGACAGACAGAGAGAGACAGAGAGACAGAAAGCGAGAAATCACCCCCCAGAGGGGATGGCCACACCACAATCCCTTCTCCTCCCGGGATCTTGGGCACGCACGCACATGTGCCTGGCGTGAGTTTTAAGCCACCAGGTCCGGGACGCAAACCGCGGTCGACTACGTGGGAGTCCAGCAACATAGCCATTACGCTAACTGCTGGTTCCCACTATGCAGTTTGAATCCCAGACATGGGGGCTCCAAGAACACACTAGGTACCTGTGCATATGTGCCCAAAATCCTGAGAGGAGGGAGAAATGGAGGAGCAGGGACGATGGCACGCACATTCCCCCGTGGTAGGTGCTTTCTCACTTCCAACCCACCCCTCCAGTGAGTGCACATGCCCTCTGGCAAAATGTTAAATAACAAGATCTAATGGCAGATCTAATATATACCATACTTTCAAATTAGTGATGAATTTGAATAGTATCAGGAGAACCCTTGTGCAGGTGAATTTGTGATATGACGTTGGTCAGTGTTGGTGACCACCTCACAGGTACGGTTAATGCTACCATGGTTGCTTGCTCACCTTCCCACTTACAGGAAGGAGCAAATTGCACTTAGAAGTTGGTGACAACTGAAACGTGATTGTTCCCATCCACCTTTACAAAGGTAGATGCCTGACCCAAGTCAGGGAGTCCTACATGTCCACTCACACTTGGGGCTCAGTAAAGAAGAGCCAGGGCACTCAACATATCTCATGTCTCCCCGGCCCCATCCCGAGAGGAGGCCTTCTGTGTTCATTCATTCACTTTTGTGGCCAACACTGAGCACCACCTGTGCCAGGCTCCATCCAGTCAGAGATGAGATCCTTTCCTCAGGCTCTTCATTCTTTTCTTTTCTTTTTGTTTTTTTTGTTTGTTTGTTTGTTTGTTTTGAGAGGTTTCGCTATAGGGCGCATGTGCTCACCAGACAGACAGAGAGAGACATAGAGACAGAAAGCGAGAAATCACCCCCCAGGGGGGATGGTCATGCCGCAATCCCTTCTCCTCCATTCTCCTCTTGGGATCTTGGGCATGCACGCACACGCGCCCGGCATGAGTTCTAAGTCACCGGGTCCGGGACGCAAACCGCGGTCGACTATGTGGGAATCCAGCGACATAGCCATTACGCTAACTGCTGGTTCCCAGGCTCTTCATTCTTCATCATCTGCTTAAGGCAGAGTGAAAGGTACTGTTCCACATGCAGAACGTAAGCAAGCCAGCCCCAGACAGAGGCGCAGCAGTACAACACAGAGCACTCAAGGCTGGTCCACATGAGAAGGTTCTGAGTTCGCATCCAGAGATATCCCTGAGTATACCAGGAACACACATGCTCATGATCCGGGGCTGACCCTGCTAAGGATTCTCTCTTTCTCTCTGTCTTTCATGGAAGAAATATATACATACATATAATTTTTTTAAAGATTTTTTTTTTGCAATAAGGCATGAGCACTTGCCAGAGAGAGAGACAGAGAGACAAGGAAAAAGAGAGATCACCTCCTAGGAGGGTGACCACACCACACTCCCTTCTCCATTCTCCTCTAAGAATTTTGGGCATGCACACACACGCGCCCAGCACATTCTTCAGGCCACCAGGTCTGGGATTTGAACCATGGAGTTGGCCACATGGGATCCAGTGCCCTAACCACCATGCCACCTGCTGGCCCAAGAAATAAATATATATTTTTAGAATTTGTTATAGGGAACTTGTGTTCCCCAGAGATAGAGTGTTAAGGCCCCCCCCCCCCCGGGGGGGTTGTGTTCGTCAGAGATAGAGTGTTAAGGCCCCCCCTGGTGGGATGGCCACACTGCAATCCCTTCTCCATTCTCCTGTTGGGATTTTGGGCACACATGAACACATGTCTGGTGTATTTTTCAAGCCACTGGGTCTGGGACTTGAACTTACATGTGTAGTCAGCCATGTGGGATCCAAACTCCTTAACCCCCACACCATATGGCTGGCCCAAAATAATTTTATTTTTAATGTAAACAAGCACAGGACTATGTCCCCCACCCTGTAAACAGAGAATACCCACAATAGTGACGGTAGGGTTAAGCGGTCACACCTGCTAGTGACACTTTCTGTCCCGTAACCCTCTGGGAAAGAAGCATGGCCCCACACGGCTGTGGTGGTGGACATTCCACCACGTTCTTTCCCAGCACTCTAGCTCCTGCCATTTTGTTTGAGGACGTAAGTCCACAGGAAGGACAAAGGGTGGAGGCAGAGTCCCTCTCCTTTTCCTGGGTCTGTGCCCTCCTTGGGGAGGGGCAGGGTCTTGCTCAGCTTGTGCTCCTGGAGCTGGCACGTGGACGCCTGCTGGGTCATGGTACAGAAAGGATGGGTGAGAGGAGGGGCAGAGGTGGGCCAGGCGCCTCCCCCCAGCTTCCTGTCTTCTCTTGCAGCCACCAGAATGCCTGGCGAGATGGACAAGCCGCTGATCAGCCGCCACCTGGTGGACAGTGATGGCAGCCTCACCGAGGCCCTCAGCCAGGGCCCCAAAGTGGGCATCCTGGGCAGTGGGGACTTCGCCCGCTCGCTGGCCACACGCCTGGTGGGTTCCGGCTTTGGCGTAGTGGTGGGGAGCCGCAATCCCAAACGCACGGCTGGGCTGTTCCCCGCTGCAGCCCAAGTGACTTTCCAGGCGGAGGCGGTGAGCTCCCCGGAGGTCATCTTTGTGGCTGTATTCCGAGAGCATTACACCTCGCTGTGTGGGCTCAGCGACCAGCTGGCCGGCAAGATCCTGGTGGACGTGAGCAACCCCACGGAGCAGCAGCACCTTCAGCACCGCCAGTCTAATGCCGAGTACCTGGCCTCTCTCTTCCCTGCCTGCACGGTGGTCAAGGCCTTCAACGTCATCTCCGCCTGGACTCTGCAGGCTGGCCCGAGGGATGGGAACAGGCAGGTAGGTTCTGGGGTACAATATCACTACAACAAATGTGAACAGCTCATTTTCACTGAGAGCCACCAGGCTTTTTATGTCCATTGTCTCAGCCAATATCACCTCACCCCCAAGTTTCCATTTATGGAGCAGGAAACAGACTCGGGGTATTATTTGAACCCAGGTCACAGGGATCTCTTTTGTTGTTAAACTCATGATAGAGCATGTATGTGTGTGTGTGTGTGTGTGAGAGAGAGTGAGAGAGGAGCACCCCCACAGGGCTCAGTCGTACCACCGCCCACTTCCTCCAGTCCTCCAGGATCCTGGGAATGCCACACTCCTGGCATGTTTTCAGGTCACCCAGGCCAGGGGCTCCAACACCTTCAGCACATGGTTTCCAGTGGTGCGGTTCGGTAAGCTACCAACTACACCAGAAACTAGGTTTCCCATGGGTCTAGAACTCATGTTCTTTCTGCTGTGGAACTGGGTTTCCTAGGAGGGAAAAGTTGCTGGACTATTTGGGGTCAAAGAAAGACTTTTTTTTTTTAGAAATAGACTCAGAGGGATCATCAGTTGGCATAATGGCTATGTCGTTGGACTCCCATAGAGTTGACTGTGGTTCACGTCCCAGACCTGGTGGCTTAAACTCACACCAGACGCATGTGTGTGTGCACCCAAGATCCCGAGAGGAGAATGAAGGAGAAAGGATTGCAGCGTGGCCATCCCCCCTGGGGTGTGATTTCTGACTTTCTATCTCTCTGTCTCTGTCTTTCTGACAAGCGCATGCGCCCTATAGCAAAGACCTCTCCCAAAAAGAAAGAAAGAAATGGACTCAGAAAGCAGAAAGAAACACCTGTATGTGCCAGGCCCTGAAAAAGACACACGTGTCCCACACTTTGTCGAGTTTACTCGAAGGACTTCCAAGATCTGAGGGGATTTCTCAGAATAATCAACAGATTTTTCTCAGGACTGTAAAACAGCTTCCCAGAACATTCAGAGCTGTATGTTTCTTGGTAGGAGCAGCTTTTCCCAAGATGGGGTAGTTTTTGTTTCTTTGTTTTTGTTTTTGCTCTAGGGTAGATGTACTCACTGGAGAGATAGAGAGAGAGAGAAAGAGATAAATTACCCACCAATGGGGAATGGCAATGCTGCAGTCCCTTCTCCTGTGTTCTTCTCTTGGGATTTTGGGCATGCACGCACATGCACTGGCATGTTTTTTTTCAAGCCACTGGGCCTGGGACTCAAACCACACAACCAGCCATGTGGGATCCAGCCACCTTAACCTCCGTGCCACCTGCTGCTCTGAAACAGGATGGATTTGAATGCCCAACAGGCACCTGTATTTTCCGTGAGGAAATGTGTGTGAGAATGTCCACCAGCAAGTCCAGCCCAGGTGCCAGGCTCTATGGGAGAGTGCCAGGGGCCCAGCCACCTCTGAGTACAGGGCCTATAAAGCAGCTGTATCCTGGGACTCCATTTGTCAAGTGGCCACCAAGGGACCAGGGCTGAAGGGACTGAAGGTAAAGTACTCGGGGGACAGGGGAAGCCTTAAAGATGGGCTTCAACCTGGGCCCACCTCCTGTTGTCAGGCTCCGGGAGCAAGAAGGCTTCCCAGGCTGCAGAGACGACCTACAAAAGCATGAAGGTAAAAAATAATGCTCCCAGACCTCAGTTCCCGCATCTGAAAAATGAGGACAATAGTACCTACCTGCAGGCTTGTGGCAAGGCTGAAGGATCGTGTGTGTAAAGCCAGCAGGTGCTGTCAGTGGTGAGAGACAACCTGGCCACAGCAGTGTCGGCAAGGCCCATGGAGTATCTGGGGACCTTGGGATGTCAAGGGGCTCCTGGTAGGGAGCAGTGGGCTCAGGGCAGGGCAAGCAGACTAGGGCCGGTTTGTGGAAGGGGAGACTCTGGAGCGAGGGGTGGAGCTGCAGCCATTGCTGCACACTCGACCATATACAGGACCCTGTGGCAAGTAGCTCCCAGGGCAGGCCACGGCCTCAGAAGCAGCCATCTCGTGGAGCCCTGGGGGCTGCCTAGACAGGCATTTTGCTTATGGCCACCAATGTCAATGAGCTGTCAGTAACACTTACTGTTAGTGAGTCTCTCCTTGAGAAGAGGGCCTTGTTGGGCAGACTGGGCCAGAGGCTGTGAGGCTACATGGAGCAGAGGGAAGATTCCCAGCCTGGGAGTCAGAGCCACTTCTGCTCCCAGCTGTGCCATCGACTGGCAGCTCACTTGGGCAAGTCCCTGCCCCTCTGGGCCTCAGTGAGGAGTTTGGCCCAGATGGTCACTGAGGCCCTGCCCTCTCTTGTGGCCTGTGACCCATCTGACTGCCCCCTCCCTTCCCCCAGGTGCCCATCTGCAGTGACCAGCTGGAGGCCAAGCGTTCTGTCTCCGAGATGGTGCGTGCCATGGGCTTCACGCCTGTGGACATGGGATCCCTGGCATCAGCCCGGGAGGTGGAGGCCATGCCCCTGCGCCTCCTCCCAGGCTGGAAGGTACCCACCCTCCTGGCGCTGGGGCTCTTCATCTGCTTCTATGCCTACAACTTCACCCGGGACGTGCTGCAGCCCTACGTGCAGGAGGGCAGGAACAAGTTCTACAAGCTCCCTGTGTCCGTGGTCAACACCACACTGCCCTGCGTGGCCTACGTGCTGCTGTCGCTGGTGTACCTGCCTGGTGTGCTGGCGGCTGCCCTGCAGCTGCATCGCGGCACCAAGTACCAGCGCTTCCCCGACTGGCTGGACCACTGGCTGCAGCATCGCAAGCAGATCGGGCTGCTCAGCTTCTTCTGTGCGTCACTGCACGCACTCTACAGCTTCTGCCTGCCACTGCTCCGCTCCACCCGCTACGACGTGGTCAACCTGGCCATCAAGCAGGTACCCACCCCGCGCCCCCCCACCCTCCCTCTGTCACTAAGCCTGTGCCCATCCAGCACTGTGTACCAAGTGTGGCCAGTACCCACAGGGCAACTGTGCCAATTGTCAGCTGCAGATTCCGTTCTGACTGGGCAGTGCCACGTTCTGACATCTGAGATTATTTATTTTTTTAATTTTATCTGCCAAAGGGTGCTTCACTCAGCAGGGAGAGACAAAGAGAAAGGAGAAGGATGAGAGCACCCTCTGAGGGGCAAATCCCTTGTCCTCCTTCTTGCTCTCCTTTCACAACTTCGGGCATGCACGCACACACCTGGCATGTTTATAAGCTGCTGGGGCAGGATTCATACCTCACAGTTGGCCATGTGAGATCCGCTCCCTTAACCACTGAGCCATGCTGCCAGCCCCTGCTGCTCAGGATCTTGAGTATCAGCGAACAGAGTAGATAGAAATCCTGAACTTGTGCTCACAGCCCCATCAGGGCAGACTTCAACAAAGCGGGAGGGTACAGCAGGCATTTAGAAGACCTTGAGTGCTAAGGAGCAAAGTAAAGCCCGGGCAGGCAGTGGGGAGAAGTTCGAAAGATGGGCTGGGAGGAGAGCAGGCTGTGAGACCAGGTGGCTCTGGGTGGGGTGGGGTGCTGCAGGCCAAGGGGGCAGCAAGAGCAGAGGCCCTCGGATGGGATGTGGCCGGCACATTTGAGGAACAAGGACGCCCATGTGGCTAGCGCCTAGTGAGGTCACATCCTTGTGGGGGAGACCTGAGAGGTCACAGCTGGACCCTGGGGGCAGGGAAGGCTTGAAGGCAGAAGGAGGACTTTGGCCTTAGGCCCTGAGTGAAATTAGAAGCCAGAAAAGGGTGTTGAGTGGAGGGATGATGACCTGCCCTCCGTTTAACTGGCTTGCTCTGGTTCCTGGCTGAGTAGACAGCAGGGGTCAACAGCAGAAGCTAGAGCCCAGTGAGGAGGCCGCGCAGGGGAGGCTGGGAGCAGTTGGGCATGGTGTGGGCAAGAAAGCACTGAAGGCGTCCTTGGGAGCAGGAGGACACAGGACTGCTGGTATGACAAGCATGAGGTCGAGGTGGTCAGGGACAGCGTCTGAGCACTGGACGGACAGAGCCGCTCTCAGCTCTGTGGGAGCAACTCAGGAATGAGGGTTTTGGGGTTGGGTATTTTTAATTTGAGAGCAGCATTAATCATTCATTTAGCAAACCCACCTGGTGCCCTTTTGCCAGCAGGGTTCTAGGGACCAGAAGGCCTTCGGACCAAGCCAGGTGGGGACCTGGGCAGCGTCAGTGGCATCCACACCCATGGGAACAGGCCCCTGGTGCTCCCCCTGGGTTTACAGCTCCCAGGCTTCATTCGTGATCTGCCAGCATCACTGCCTTCTCCGTCTTCTCCATCCGGCGTCGCGCCTCTCCAGTCCCCAGCCCCTGGCTAGCTGGTGCCTGGGTCCTGGCCGCTCCAGGACACTAGTCGGCCCGCAGGGTTGGCCCAGGTGTGATGAAACACTTCTCACCCACCCCCAGTTCCAGCCCAAGTGGCCCGGCAGCTCCTGTCCCTGCTCAGGATGCAGGTTCTTGGGGTGGTTGGGCATTCCCTGTAGCCTGCTGTGTGGCCATCCACTCAGGACCAGGAGGCAGGCTGGGCTGCTGCCCGGGAACACAGACCCCAGCCCCTGCTCACACTTGGGCTCCTGCTTCTCCCCTGGCAGCTGCTCAGATGCCTGAGAGCCCTTCCCACCCACGGACGCCTGGCAGCACCACGTCTGTGGGCTCAGAACTTCAGCAGAGAAAGGAAGAAGCCCAGACTCCAGGCAGAGAGGCAAGATGCCTGATGAAAATGAGAGGAAGGGAAAAAATAATTGTCACGAGCCCTTAAAAAGAGCTTGCCGTGTTCCAGGTACAATTCTAAGAGCTTTATGTACCCACTGTGAACTCGTCTAACCCACCTCATCCCTACAAGGCACGTGTCGTACTGCCCTTATTTTACAGGTGAGAAAACTGAGGCACAGAGAGGTTAAGTGATTTGACCAAAGTCACACAGCCAATACGTAGCAGAGGTGGGATTCAGATTCACTCTACCCAGACCTATGGTCATACCCATGCTGTTTTCCACAGGGAAACAAATCCAAATTCGTAACTGAGTAAATGATCTCAGAACTCAGGGCGTTTATTCAAATGCTTTTTCACTGAGTGCCTGCTCTGCCAGCCTCTGGGGCCTCAGAAAGGAGTGAGGAAGGCACTGACGATCCTGTGCCTTGCCTCATGGAAGCCTAGAGCCAGGGCCCTGGACCCTGGTCCTCCAGCATCACTGATTACAAGAAAGGCCTTGACTTTCAGCAAGTCGTAGCCACCGATGGTCCTCGGGGCCTTGGTGTGGAGATCCTAGAGCAGAGGTTCCTGGTGCCCTTTCATGATCTTTTCTTATTCACTTCCAAAAAGAGCCAGCCCACTCAGCAGGAGGTGCTGTGGGGCTTCTGGGACCTGGCACTTCCTCCGGGAGGTACCGCTGTGTGCAGAAGCCCCTCTCCTGAGTCACCAGGTGTGTTGGGCAGTGGCAGGGAAGAAAGTGGCACTGCCACCCTAGAGCACAAGGCAGGCCACTGCTCCCTCCCAGCCATCCTCCTAGGGCCTGTCTCTCAATTCTCTGTCCTGCCAAAGCTCTCCTGGGTTTCATATTAACCCGATTTTGCCCTGATGCAAATACCAGAGCACAGAGGGGTGCATATGAGGTAATTTTCCTTGAGTTCCCAAGCCCTTTAGGCTGCAGGCCCTGGTTGAGGTTGCCAGGCAACCATCCCTCCCACAGGACTGATCGCTTTCAGAGACACTCATTCTCAGAGACACAGAGGGGCTTAAACTTGTTCTGCAGAGTTCTCAAGGGCAGCCCAGAAGTGGTGAGTTGCTCAAACCTGGAGAGGTTCAAGCAGATGCTAGAAGGTGCACGGGCCATCTGTGACCCGGGTGAGCCTGGGCACCTGAGGCTGCTGTGCATCCAGTCCCCAACAGCAGGGCCTCCCGGAGCAGTTCACACCTGACGTGCAACCTTCCCTGCCTGCCCTTGGGCGGCCTTGATACAGCACCTCTTGCCACCCTGGCTGCCCACCAGGCCCTTCGGGTGTAGGGAGCACGTTGGCCTGGGCACAGGGAACTCCCCCATTTCCTTACAGCCCTCAAGTCTGCAGATTGGGAGGCAAAGCTATATCCCAGCTGTAGAGGAAGCCTTTGAGGCCATGTGTATTGACAGTGTTGTTACCGACGATAACTGATATTTACATAGTGCTTTCTGATTTGCTTGTGCAGTTCCCTAGAGATGCACTTGCAGATCAGAATCAAAGATCAAGATCAGACGATGTTTAACCTGCACACTTTTCCTGTTCCTCTCTCTCCAAATCGAAGTAGCACGTGGCTGTCAGAGAAGGGTCTAAAACTCTCATCTGACTATGTCACTGCTGAAATGCCTCCAGTGACTCCCTATTGTCCCTGGGATAATGGTAGACCCTACGTAATGCATCCCTCCTCAGCCTCATCTCTGACTTCCCCTGTGACACGTCCCACTAGGGTCCCACGGTGTCCTCTAATTGGGCAGAGTTTGTTTCTCTTGGTCTGCAACACCCATCCACAGACACCTTCCCAACCCAGAAAACTCTTATCTCTCCTTCAAAACCCTACTCCTGTGAAGCCCCCTCGGCTTATGCTACTTCTCACACCCAGCTCTGTAACCCGCTGTATGTTGCACATACCTCTGTTGCTTATCCTGCACGCCCCCTCGTTAACACTTACTTGCATGTCTATCTTCTACCTACTCTGAGTTCCATGGCTGGGTCTTAGTTCCCAACATAGACTCCCGGTGCATGTTCGCCGAGTGACTGGTTGTTAAATTGGCAGCTGTGAAGTCAATACCAGGAAGCTCTTAAGAGGAGCAGAAGTCCAGCTTGAGCAAAATGCCAGTCCGGCTACCAGCAGCCCCTGAGAACAGCACCAGCCACTAAGGGCTGACTGTATGCCTGTCACATGTCACAAACTTCATCCCATTAGTCTTTCCAGCCACAGCAAGAGAGACAGAGTCAGTGGGGAAGGAGCTTCCCCGGATCTCGTGGCTGCCTCCAATGGCCCCCAGGCCTGTGGGACAGTGCTGAGTTCCCTCCACCACCCAGACCGCCCTCACACTCTGCCTCCTCCCTCCTGGGTTTAGCAGATGGTGGGCACCCTTCTCTTCCCACCCTCCTCCCACTGTGGAAACATGGAAAGGGGCTAGAGCTGCAGCCTCACTGGTCTTCTCATGCTGAATCTAAAGGCAAAGGGAGTCCCCAGCCCGCACACTGGCTTTCTGTACCCTGCTGATGACAGCCCTCCTTGATGTGCTCAAGGTGGCCAGTCGGCTTAAGGTTGGCAAGTCGTTTCAGCAGCCGACATGGAGAATTACTAGGGGGATGGAGGGCGGTTCAGTCTACGTTCCCACTCGCTATGCACCACGCAGGTTCTGGGGGAGCTCCGAGCACAACACGGGGCTCAGTGAGGTTGGGTAAGAATCACACCGGCGATGAAAACTGGTCGGGGTCCAGATCTCCAGGCAGGTTCCGTGCCATCCACGTCTCCCTTGCCACCTCACCCTTCCTTCCCAGCGTCACTGAAGTAGAGGAAAAAAACCAAGACATTTCGCAAGCCAATGTGGTATGTGTGTGTAATCATCCAAACTCTGACTTGTGACATTAAGTGCCACATCTTACCAAACACAGAGAGGAATGACTAATGACGTGGAGTTGAACAAACAGCTTGCCACGCGGAGATGACTGGCTTCGCAGCAGTTGCTAACACGCAGGTGTGAGTAAGACTGCCTGGGCGCAGTTAGAGCGGAGACCTCGGTGCCCTCTGCAGGGCAAGTACCGGCTCTGGCCACAACAGGCACACAAGCAAATCCTAGGGGCTTAGGGGCGACCTCATCCAGATCACTCAGGTAGAGAAATGGAAGCACAGGGGGACACTCAGTGTCACACGTGACCGACAGTCGGTACGAGAACCCAGATTCTCAGATTCCTGGCTCTTTTGTGGCTTCAAGAGACCACAGTGAGACAGCTTGTTCTGAAACAGAACAGAGGCCATCATTCTCGGCAGAATTCAAGAAAACTGCCCAAGGGATGGCGTTTTCTCCATGTCTTTAAACTCCCCTAAGCTTCTCGGCCACCTTTGCTAGGCCTGGTGGATCGTTTCTAATATGTTATCTGGTCACTGGGCTTATGTTATTTTTTTTTCCCTGCTGAAATTGTTTCTCAAAAAACCTGCATGAGTCATCCTGTTGTGCGAGGCTGAGCCCTGCCTGCTGAAGGAGTCGCATTTTCTAATGGAACCACAGTTCTTTGTTCTGCTGGTAGAATCACACTGCCAGCGTTGCGCGGTGTTTCGCAGGGAGCACCTTGACTTTCAGGAGCACCTGATCTAGTTGGGAAATACGAGTTCTAATGGGAAGACCTTGACCAACGTCCTCCCTCATGCATGTGCTGAGTGTTGACTGGTCTGGGAGGGGTTCGGCTGCAAGGGCTCCCTGGGTGAGGAGAGAAGGGATAGAAGTTTCTGGGTTTGCAGAGGCTCCGTGATTTATGCATCCCCAGAGCTAGGTGAGGGGCCCCAGAGCTCTGTGAAGGCAGGGATCCCTGCTCTCTGCAGTCCAGGGCCTGACACACAGTAGGTGCTTCATAAATGCTTGCTGACCTGCTTGGTGAATGGGCGTCAGTCTCCATCTCCTGGGAACAGTTGAACCTAAACCTGGAGGCCTCAGGACGGAGAACTGGGTAGAAAGATAGGAATCCAGGGGCTTTGGGTCAAGAGGTCTTGGGGCTCAAGGTCTGTGTGTGTGCCCTGAGTGTGAGCCAGGACCAAGGGCAGCCGGGGGACCAGGAAAACAAAGGGTCCAGGGCAAGACAGGCTGGGGGTGGAGGCGGCCAGCAGGGTCAGGAGGAGATCCCTTCTGGCCAAGGGGATTCAGAGCCAGGATAGCTTCTCCCTCCCCCCTGGGGTTCAAGGATCAGAAAACCACGTGGTGTGGTCTGTGTGTCCTGCTGACTCCCTTCTCTGACTCCTCTCAGCCGCTGCAATGGCTGGATGGTTGCCCCCAGGCGCACATGTGAAAGCCTCAGGGAGCCCAGGTCTTTGGAGCCAGACCGCACAGGTCCTCGCCCCTGCTTTTCCTCTCCATGTGCGGCCTTGGGAGAGTGCCTTATCTGTTTCTCGTTTCCCTCTCTGTAAAATGGTAAAACTGAGGTTAGGAGGATTAAGTAATGAGTTAATACGTGAAAAGTGCTTAGGACGGAGCCAGGCACGTGCTAGAGCGGTGTGAACGCCGGCTGTCACTGCCTGTCCTGTGTCTCCTGAGCGTGTTTGTCTACTTCCCAGGGCACTGGCCTTTGCAACTGTGCTCATGGTTTTCCTTCCATCCGTGTCAGGTCTTGGCCAACAAGAGCCACCTCTGGGTAGAGGAGGAAGTCTGGAGGATGGAGATATACCTCTCCCTGGGAGTGCTGGCCCTCGGCACCCTGTCCCTGCTGGCTGTCACCTCACTGCCATCCATCGCAAACTCACTCAACTGGAGGGAGTTCAGCTTCTTTCAGGTACAGTAGACCTTCCCCCTGCCAGCAAGCCTCAGCGTGCCCCTGGCCCAGCTCTCACGTGAAGGCTCCTTTACCCCATGAGCTGCCTGAGCTTTGATCACCTGTGCAGCAGAACCTTCCTTCTCATGTCAGGGCCTTCCCAACCAGGAGGGCCACCAGAGCCCGATAAAGGAGCTGGGTCAAGCTCACCCTCCTGGCATCCGGGGCAGCCAGAACACTGAAACCTGGACCAAATGTTCTCAGTGTCTACAATTCTTGAGTGTCCCCAACACAACCCCATGACATACAGATATTCTACTTTTCTCTGGCCCCAGTGGGGTTCAGTGAGTTAGTGAGCCTAGCCTACCACCTTGTACCCTCCTCTCAAACCAGCTCTGTGTGTCCCTTTAACCCACTGATTCACACAGGGCCAATGGCAGGCAAGCATGAGGACACTGGTTTGCAGGGGACAAGACAGTATTTCCGAAGGATTCCATTCCTATAAAAATCCAGAACAAAAAGGAGATCTGTAGTCAAAATATTTGAGAAAAGATTTGTTCCTCCTAAGAGATGCACAATGCACTCTGGCACATCAAAAATTCCACTAGGGGCCAGCAGGTGGCATAGAGCTTATGGCAGCTGGATCCCACATGACCAACTGTGTGGTTCGAATCCCAGCTTGGTGGGGTTGAAAAAAAAAATGCCATGTACATGCGTGCCCCAAATCCTGAGAGAAGTATGAAAGGGAAGGGATTTCTGCATAGCCATCCCCTTGGGATGTGCTTTCTCACTTTCCCTCTCTCTCTCTGTCTCTGTCTCACCAGCTAGCATGCAAACAAACAAATATTTCACTCATGTCTACAATAAAGAAGTCTTTGCAGGCCAGAATTATCTAACATTAGCATCCTCCCCCTCTGCTGTTTTTTTTCTTTTCTTTTTTCAGATAACAGGTATCAGCACTCCATAGAACACACTCTGGGAAATGCTGCTAGTGGCAAAAGGTTCTTTATGCATCTGCTCAGCAAACGTTTGCTGAGCATTTATTGCACGTCAGGCATTGTGCTAGGATCTGGGATGTGACAGGAGCCAAGACTGGCAGAGCAAGGTTTCGATTATGACGATGAGTGGGGAACATATTTTACAGCTCTCCAAGATCTCCCACTGTTTTCCCCAGAGGACATGGTCAGTGTTGGCAGATTAGCTCATCCCCTGCCATGGATGGGAGCTGACTAATGCTGGCTCCTGCTGTTGTATTGTGTCAGGGCAGAGATAGCTATCGTACCACCCCCACGATCAACAAAAATCTGTCGGGTATCTTCACTGAGCAATGAGGACACAGTACAGAGCTCAGAGGGACAGTGACAGTGCAGTGCTCTTATGTAATCCAACTGAATTGGTCCTGATTGGGGACACTTAGCACACTTTAGAACCAAACCGACCTGTAGTGGTTTGCTTTTCAACGTGTGTTTCTGAATCTCACAGTCTGCCCATCTCCAAAGTCCCTGGAGGAGCAGCGGCGCTGACACAGGCAAGATGTGGGGAGGGAGGGGTAAGGAGGATTTTATTTGCCTGCCTCTAATCCCCATGTGTTTCACAGTCAAATCTAGGATTTTCCTGTCCCCACCTGGAGTTTCCTGGGTGCACGGTTATCCACAATTAAAACGGCAGCAGGCTGCTCCCTCACCAGAAAGTTGTTCCTTTAAGCAGCCATAGATTACATGCGCTGGCTCTGCAGGCTGGAGAAAGCCCAGGGATTTGGTTTTGTTAGCAAAAGCTGACTAGGCCCCAGCAGCCATGCTCCACTTTACATATTAAAGAGTCGAAATACAAACATGAAAGTCCTTGTGCCACTGCAAGAGCAGGGCAGCCAGATGGGAAGAAAGGCTGGATATTCCCGTGGAAATCAAGCCACAGAACCCAGCTGCTCCATTTCTCCAGCACTAACGCAGGAAGCCCTGCAAGCACCCAGGAGCCCAGGAGCGTCCCTGTGCTGTGACCATGGGCAGGTCATGCCCACTCCCTGAGCCTCGGTATACACTTCTGAAAAATAGAGTTAATGTCCACCAGGGTTTGTGAACCCCAGTGAGAGATTATGTACAAAAGAAAAAAAAAAGCCTTTTGCTCATATTCTTAGGGTATCTGGCCACATTCCCATTACCCCTGACAACGCTGCCTGACACCCACTTCTGAGTTCAGTAGGAGGCAGCAAAGTAGAGGCCAAGAGACTCTAACCCTGGTCACCATAGTGGTCTAGGTCAGTGTATACAACTGCAGTGGACACTCACTAGGAGGCCATGTGAGCCACTGAGTGGGGCACCACCAGCCTTTCTAAAAATGGTATTCATTTCTTCCATGAGTAAGAGAGGGAGAGATACAGACAGCCCCATCAACAGGGTCTTGACCTCACAATCCACTCCCAGCCTTCGACCAGCTAAGGATCATAGGCAAGCATGTGGCCAAAGTGCTCAGAAAGGTCTCTTGAACCAGGAACCTTCATATGGGCCTCACAGACCATCAGGTATTACCATTGTGCTGCCTGCTGGCCCCCACAATCAGCATCCTTAAAATAAAGTAGGACAAAATGGCAAAGAAATCATCCGAGCGCTTCTCGTGTGATGGCAGATATTCTCTCGGTTATGCTGGTGCCGCAGTTAAATACACAGCGCAGTAAACCCAGGTGTTTCCTGGGTAGCTGTCGAAAGTGCCATTCTTGGGCCAGCAGGTGGCATGAGGGTTGAAGCACTGGACTCCCACATGGTCGACCGCGGGTCAAGTCCTGGACTTGGTGGCTTGCTTTCTCACTTTCCCTCTCTCTTTCTCTGGCCAAATTGAAAAATGATGATAATAATAAATAATTAAAAAAAAAAAAATTTAAAGTGCCATTCTTACTGTGAGCCACTACCAGAAGGATTTGAAGCCCTAGAGTACTCCTGAGGAATACAAATCCTCGGGCCTACCCCACTTGTGGACTCTGCGGTGGGTCTGAAATCGTTTTGCAGCTCCCCAGGTGTGCATGCTGCAACGCATAGCAACCTCCGGCCAGGAGACCTACGCACTGTAGACCTGGGAGTCAGTCCCAAGGCCCCCACTCATGGCCCTTAGCCAGCTGAAGAATCTTAGCCTCCCAGAGCTCTGCTTCCTCACCTGTGTCCACCTCAGGTGGTCATCAGAGGATTTGGGTTGAGCACATGAAAAGCACAGGACTTGTGCACCCCATAGTGGCTTGATGATTTTCAAGGCAAGCTTCAATTTTGCATGGCCAGAGAGGAGCTACCTAGACCTATTCCCCTTCCCTGCCACATACACCAGCCATCAGAGCTTAGAAATAGGCTGTGCGGATGGCTGTGGCACTCAAGGGACCTGGGCCTATAATGCTCTGGTTAGCTAAAAGCCAGCAAAACAAATTGTGTTGGATCCACAAGACGGTGACTCATGCTTGCTCCCAAGGCTGTTTCCAGTTTTAATTTGGTGTGTTTCTTAGGGTGTTTTGTTACTGTTTCGGTAGTTTGGGCTGTGCTAAGGGCTCCTCATTCAGCCAGCCCAGCATTATTGGACTACCAGATCCCGGGTCAGAGCAGCTTACCCACACAGAAAATGAGGGTTCCGCTGTGAGGCCCTCAGCTCTGTCCCAGTCTTGGGCACTTCCTGTGACCTTGCCCACTACGGCCATCTGAGTGGTAACAGAGACCAGCCTGGCCCCTTCCTGCAGTCACTGAGCACCTGCAGGAGCACCCGTCCTGGCTTTGCTTGTTTGCTAACAAGCTTGCCTATAATAAACATGGCCCTAGTTGGGGTGGGGAAGTTATTCATGCCCCATAACAATCCCTCCCCTTCTTTGGATTTTTAAATTGTTCCCAAGGAGAATGAGTTTTACTGAAGCAAACCCACTGGAATCATCCGGGCATCCCAGAAGGACTGGAAAGTCAAAAGGCTCTTTGTTACTGGCTGGCCTCTGGCCGTCAGTCCTGGCTATGAGCCACGTAGGCCCCATGGATTCCGGACAGCAAAGGGATCCTATAAATGGGAGAAGTGTTTCTATGCTGTCCCCGTGCAGGGCCTCACATGCCCAGCACAGTCCATCGTTCTCCAGATTAGGAGCTGGCCAAGGTGGCCCACATGGGCCAACGCTATGGGTTTGCTGCCCAAGGAAGATGCTGAGGCTTCCTAGGCCTTTATGGGCTCTCACTGCTGCACTGTCTGAGGAAGCCCCCCATGTGGGCACTGGAAGACCCTCAGTGGGTCTTTGTTTAATGAACAGACAGGTCCTGGTCCTCCCGGTCGAAGAATCCGGGCAGCGGGACCCTGAAGGTAGAAGGGCCTGGGCGACGAAAGCCCCCTGAATGAATGGTTCGGTCTTCGCTGCCCATCAGCATTATCTGCTGAACTTCAGAAAACAGCAGCTGCCTGGGCTCCACCCTCAAACCAATTTAAGTTTCTGGAGGTGGGGCTCGTACCCTAATATGCTCCCTAGCTCCCTAGGTGATTTCAGTGTGTACCCGGCGTCGAAAACCAGTCTCAGGTTGATAGACGCTCAGGGATACCAGGCCATCTCACCACTCCGGTAACTCCACAGGACTGGGCCCAATGACCAGCAGTTTGGGGCCGGGCACTTGGAGGTTGTTAAAGTTGGGCTAAAATCCTTGGAGTAAATCAAGAAGAACCAGCCTCTAGGGCGTGTGTGCTCACAAGACAGAGACAGAGAGAAAGTGAGAGATCACTATCCCTCCTCCAGGAGGGATGGCCACACAATCCCTTCTCCAGTCTCCTCTCGGGATTTTGGGCACACATGCACATGCATCTGACATGTTTGTCAGGCCGCCAGGTCCAGGACGCTAACCACACAGTTGGCCATGTGGGCTCCCACCACCTTCTCCCCACACCATCTCCCGGCCCTGGATCTTATTTATTTAGCTGTTTTATTTATTATTTGACTTGGGGGTCAAACATGCCCCTGGGAAGCTGTCTGTGAAATGATAGTGTGCAGTCATTGGAACACGTTTCTATTATTTTTAGTAAAAGCTTTACAAGCGATTCTTCTAAACAATGTTCACTCAAAAGAGTTTGCTCTCGTGGTGCTTGCCCTAGGGCGGGCACCAGCAAAGCATCCCCCACACCAGGGGCGAGGGAGGACGAGGCACAATGCAGAATCATTAGGAACATTTCTGAGGGGAGCGCAAGCCAGCACGTCTCGGCCAAGCCCCTGGATTGAGGCTGACAGGCTGAGCTAGAAGGAAATCCAGGAGGCCCAACTGCAGCTTCTCTGCAGAAAGCCCGGAAGCAATCTATAAAGAGCACCTGCAGTATCAGCGAGCTGCCACACTTAAATTAAACCTTTACAGCGTCTCCTTGGAGGAAATGAGTGTGTTTTCATGGCGTAATGGGTCACTGTTACTTTCATTCCTTACGTGACAAGCACAGGTCCCTCTTGTCCCACATCTCTCAGTGGCTTTTCGGTGTCAACTTTTGGAATTTCTTGCTTCCCACTGAGATTGTGTTAAGTCTCCTAGCCAGGCTGGCAGTGCCAGCTGAGACTAGCACCAAGAGTAGAGTCCAGATCTCCTCCCTTGTAGTCCCTTACATGCAACATGAGAACTCTTACAAGTGACCTGAGAACCCTTACATGCAACATGAGAATTCTTACATGCGACATGAGAACCCTTACGTGGAGTTACAGAGCAGTATTTCCCAGGCCTTTTCATACCATGTCACCTGCAGCAAGTCATGTTTGGCATGATGAGGAGCTTCTCTTGATGAGAAGCCACCCTCGGAAGCCCATAAGTGGCTGAAGAAGGCCCAACCTGTTCCCATGTGGAGTTGCACAGGCCCTGTCTCCCCATGGTCACTGCCTCCTTCCAGGCCTGGCAGGGTTTCCGGTGATAATTCAGCATGGGGCAGGAGGTAAAGTCACACAGCGGCACACGGAGCACCTGCGTGGTGTCGTGGGATTGCTATACAGTGCCCGGTCACCCAGACCTCAGATCCCTGGGAGTCACCTTCACACTTGGTTCCAAATTCACATGCCATCTGTCATTTTTTATTTTGCATTTGTCTTTAAGTCAATATAAAACCAATGCAGTTTTGGGGTTTGTTTTTGTTTGTTTGTTTGTTTTTAAATCAGGTCTTCATTTAAGCTAATATTACCTGTGAAATTATGATTTTGCTAGGCTGGCCAATACTTGTTACTGTAATATGCACAAAACTAGTAAAATGTTTTTAAACTTCTTTGAACTCAATTCCATCTAAAATTATTTGTACCACCAGGGATACAAATAATAGTTGGAGAATAAGCATCATTCCTCTTGTCAAATTCACACAAATCAGTCCTTCTATTCTATATTTTCTTTTTAAAGAGTTTTTTGTTTTTTGTTTTTTGTTTTTTTTACTATAGGGTGTGTGTGCTCTCTGGAGAGACAGAGAGATATGGAAAGACAAAAAGCAAGAAATCACCCACAGAGGAGAAGGCCATGCTGCAATCTCTTCTCCATTCTCTTCTCAGGATTTTGGGCACACATGCATACACACCTAGTGTGAGTTTTAAGCTGCTGGGTCCAGTACTCAAACCCCATTTGACCATGTTGGTGTCCAGCGACGTAACCATTACACCATCTGTTGGTCCCTATACTGTACTTTCAGTGTAAAATCTTTATTTCCATTTTTCTGTTGGTGAGACAGGCTCAAAGAACTTAGGTAGAAATCATAAGATCATGCACATGGGCAGTGACAGGGCTGGGATTCAAACCCACTGCCATGAGTACAATGGCTACCCTCCTGGCCCTCTGCCACGCAGAGCTGCTGTGTCTGTCATGCCCTGGCTAATGCCAACCTTCTCTTCACAGTCCACACTGGGCTTCGTGGCCCTGGTGCTGAGCACGCTGCACACACTCACCTACGGCTGGACCCGCGCCTTCGAGGAGAGCCGTTACAAGTTCTACCTGCCCCCCACCTTCACGCTCACACTGCTGGTGCCCTGCGTGGTCATCCTGGCCAAAGGCCTGTTCCTCCTGCCCTGTTTCCGCCGCAGACTCGCCAAGATCCGGAGGGGCTGGGAGAAGGATGGCACTGTCAAGTTCATGCTTCCAGTGGACCATGTGCTGGCTGAGAAGACGATATATAAAACCAATGCAGTTTTGGGGTTTGTTTTTGTTTGTTTGTTTGTTTTTAAATCAGGTCTTCATTTAAGCTAATATTACCTGTGAAATTATGATTTTGCTAGGCTGGCCAATACTTGTTACTGTAATATGCACAAAACTAGTAAAATGTTTTTAAACTTCTTTGAACTCAATTCCATCTAAAATTATTTGTACCACCAGGGATACAAATAATAGTTGGAGAATAAGCATCATTCCTCTTGTCAAATTCACACAAATCAGTCCTTCTATTCTATATTTTCTTTTTAAAGAGTTTTTTGTTTTTTGTTTTTTGTTTTTTTTACTATAGGGTGTGTGTGCTCTCTGGAGAGACAGAGAGATATGGAAAGACAAAAAGCAAGAAATCACCCACAGAGGAGAAGGCCATGCTGCAATCTCTTCTCCATTCTCTTCTCAGGATTTTGGGCACACATGCATACACACCTAGTGTGAGTTTTAAGCTGCTGGGTCCAGTACTCAAACCCCATTTGACCATGTTGGTGTCCAGCGACGTAACCATTACACCATCTGTTGGTCCCTATACTGTACTTTCAGTGTAAAATCTTTATTTCCATTTTTCTGTTGGTGAGACAGGCTCAAAGAACTTAGGTAGAAATCATAAGATCATGCACATGGGCAGTGACAGGGCTGGGATTCAAACCCACTGCCATGAGTACAATGGCTACCCTCCTGGCCCTCTGCCACGCAGAGCTGCTGTGTCTGTCATGCCCTGGCTAATGCCAACCTTCTCTTCACAGTCCACACTGGGCTTCGTGGCCCTGGTGCTGAGCACGCTGCACACACTCACCTACGGCTGGACCCGCGCCTTCGAGGAGAGCCGTTACAAGTTCTACCTGCCCCCCACCTTCACGCTCACACTGCTGGTGCCCTGCGTGGTCATCCTGGCCAAAGGCCTGTTCCTCCTGCCCTGTTTCCGCCGCAGACTCGCCAAGATCCGGAGGGGCTGGGAGAAGGATGGCACTGTCAAGTTCATGCTTCCAGTGGACCATGTGCTGGCTGAGAAGACGAGCCATGTGTGAGCTGCCTACTTCGGGTCCGGAAACCAGCCCAGGCACCTGGTGGCCTGAGCCCATTGGGGTCCCATTTTGGGATGGGACAGAGCTGTGTAATTGTGCGCAAAGGATGGTTTGAGGTCCAAGCTCTGGGGACACAAATGTACACAGTAATACTCCGAATGACACACACATGTATGTTTGTGTGACATCTATGTACAGTCATCCCCACCTCCCCGCCCTCACAGGAAGCTGGTTCCAGGACCCCTCACAGATACCCAAATCTGCAGATCCTCAGATTCCTTATATAAACTGGCATAGTATTTGCATATAGCCTATGCACACCTACCAATACGCTTTAGGTCATCTCGAGGGTACTTAGAATACCTGATACTGTGTAAATGCTGTGTAAATAATCATTTTCCTGTGTTGTTTAGAGAATAATGGCAAGACAGAAATGTGTATGCATTCAGTACAAATGCAGCCATCATAGGCCTAATTATTGATGAGTAGGTCAGCAACAATGGAACATTTTCCATGGAGAGTTAGTCAAGTCTGGATGTGGACAGGTGCCACAGATACAGAGGAGCCGACTGCATGTGTGTTTTATATATAACAGGATTTGTGATTAGACTTAGCTTAAACGCTGGGGTCTGAGATTTCAACTTGTAGATTTAAAGGCAAGTGCCAGACATTCAAGCAGCAGATAATGCCCTGTGACATGTCCGGAGATTTGCCCACGCTTTGTGCAAAGAGGCTGGTACCTTGTACTTACATCCACTTATGACCCCCACACACACACTGCCCTCCTGCTCTTACCCATGCTCTAAGGTGGCAGGGAAGACACCAGCTCTGCCATGAGCCAGCCTAGGCACCTGCAAGCACAGGGCTGAGAGAGGATGGTGCGCAAGGGTGTGCATCTTCCCTTGTCCACCTTGGAAAGCAGAGAGAGACCCAGAGTGGAGCAGAAGCCCAGGAGAGGTGAGCCTGAGTCCGTGCCCTGGAAGTCTTTGCCAGATAGGGGTGGGTGGGCAGGTAGGGGCTGGGACTGAAACTGCTCTCCCTAACTTTCCCTGAGCAGGGGAGATTATTTCCCTGAAGTCAGAAGTCACTGTGGAGCCTGCAAATTGATCCTCCTGTAAGAGTGTGAAGTCACCTCCTTGCCAGAGCCACTAATGAATCCGTCTTGAGAACAAGTGTAATTTCTTTCCCTCCTTTAAGTTGGTGATGACCGTTCTTTAAACCACTGTGCCTTCTCACCTTTCCGATCATTAGTCTGAATGTCTCCTAGGAAGGCCTTAGCAGACCCTTTAAAAATCAGCCTAAGGGGGGGGTGGAGGGAAACACCTGCAAGTTCACTCAGCCTCAAGCTGAGCCCTTGTCTTGGGCCCTGCCCAGGGCCTGGAGGGCTGTCTTTATTAAGTAACTCCTGTGGAAAAACACTGGGGACCCATTTGAACATCTGCTGCTTCTGGGCAAGGGCCTTGCCTTCCAAGCCCTCAGAAAGCCACATGGACCCCCGTTCCTCCTTATGGAATACTGCATAAAAAATAAAAAAGTAAATTTTAAAAAGCTGGGAAGGCATTTTCCACCAAAGCTGCAAGCCCAGAATACTGCTGTCCCAAAGCACAAAGGACGGCCTCCTGCCAGGGCCACAGGGCACTGGCCACACACCATCCCTCACTGCTTCATACTGAGCTGGCTTAGTTCCCCTGCAGAGAGCCAGCTGCTTACCAGTGAGCACCCTAAACCCCACAGAACAGGAAGATCTGCCACCAAAAAGCACCTTAGAACACCAAGGGGTGAGGCCCCAAAGGGTCTCCTGGGCCAGAGGCTCTGTCATGGAACTGAGAGTGGACCACCAGGGCTAGCAGACTGTGCTACAGAGGAGGCTGCCTCTGCCCGAGGAGGCTTCATGAACTCATATCTGTAGAGCACTTTAGGGTCCTTCCGTGAAAAGAAAGAGAAAAAAAAAAGCCTACTGCAAGAATATTCCATTAGGCCCATGACTGATGGAAAGACGGCAGTGCCGGGGAAGCTGTCTGCTTCCTGTAGATATTTCCATCTGCTGCTCTAGTGCCGAGCAGCACAAACTTGTCTCATAAATTGGCACCGAGGGAGCATTGGCCGCAAGTTGCAGAGAAGCTCTTTGGGAGGGGCAGGTGGAGCGGAAACTAGCGTTTGTGTGACACAGTGAGAGTCCATTGATTCCCTACTAATGGAGAGCAGGTAGACAAGGGCAATGGGAACCCATCATGAGCCCCAAACCCAGTGAGTACTGGCTGCCTTCCTTCTCCAACCCTCCCGGGGCCAGGGGATGGGTCCTTATACCAAAGATGCTGACACAGCAATGTCCCATGTACGTCCCCTCTCCACCAACCACCTCCTGCTGTGAGTGCTCATCAGGAGAGAAGATTCCAAGGTGGGTGGAGAGGGCAGGGGCAACAGAGGGCCTGCACCCACCATCTGGCTGCTCAGCTCACAGAAATCAAGTGGGCTATATGGTGGCCCTGACCTGGGCCTATGGGCTTCCCTACCTCACCAGGCAGCTGGCAACAGCACCCGCAGAGAGCAAGCCACTCCCTACCGCCTGGTCCACTCTGTGTGCCTCTGGTACAGAAGTGCCTCAACCAATGTGCTCTGGAGACCCTAAATGCCATGGTCTGAGATTGATGTTTAAAACCTATGCCATAAAAGTCCGTGTATTTTTCGTTAACCTTGTAGAGCTTGTCTAAGAAGCAGCAAAAATAAACACCTTCTGTGAAGTTTAGGCTTTTATTTCTGTCGTGGGGATTGCCTGGTCACCTGTCCTCTCATTGGCTCAGGGAGCACTTCTAATGGGAGCCCGCAGTGTCAGGAGCATGAGGGAGGTTGGGGCTGCCAAGGGGAATACAGAGTGAGCTGGGCCTGCGCTGGCCATAGGGGAAAGGCAGACATGCAGACCTGCAGTCATGGGCCAGTGAGGAGATGGGTGAGATCCAGGTGACACAGTATGGGTTGAGGGACGTGAAAGGAGGACCCCAGGCCAATAGAGAAGCAGAGAAAGCTTCCTGCAGGGAGCAGCATCTGTCTGTGGGCTGAAGGTGGAGACCTTGAATGTGGGAAAGAGTGGCAGTGCTTCTTGAATTACAGTGTGCCTGTGAGTCATGTGGGGAAATGGTTCTGATTCATGAGTCGAAAGACTTAAGACTGCATTTCTAATAAGGTCCTCAGTGACACCGATGGTAATCCTCAGACCCTCTGAGCTAGAAGAGCTTAGATGACTTCCTTTGCTCCTGTCATGGGTAGGTTATGAGGGCTCCACCATCATGAGTAGAATGCTGTTATTGAGGGAGTGGGCTCCTGACTCAAAGTTTGAGTTTGGTCTGATTTCCTCTATCTCACGTGTTCACTTGCCCTTCCACCATGGGGTGACCCTTGCCAGATGCTGATGCCATGCTCTTGGATATTTCAACCTCTGGAAATGTGAGAAATTAACTTATTTTCTTTATAAATTACCCAGTCTGCAGTGTTCAGTTACAGCAATAGAAAATGGACTAAGGTAGAAGTTAAAGGAGGGTTGGTTGTCTTTCCAGTGGTTCTTATCTGAGCATGTTTTAAATGTTTCTGGTAAAGAACAAGAACAGGAGTGGTTGAAGATGTGCATGTGTGTGTGTATGTGAGAGAGAGAGAGAGAGCCCAAGAGCAAATGAGAATCAAAATTCTAAAGGATATGGGAAACAGGTTTAAAGCAGAAGTAGCTTTAGCAAGGAGGAGAGCAGTTTTATCCTTTAAAACTAAGGAGGAAGGAGAGATGGAAAAAAGGGCAGATGCCAATGAGAGGAGGGTTTAGCTTTGATATGTGACAAGGTAGTGCCCTTCAGATAGTCTCTGTGTCCTTTGTTTAAAAAACAAAAACAAAAAAGTGCTGAGTGTGCCAGGGGAAAAAAGGTTTGGCTGTGAAAGTTGAAGAGGGAGGAAAGGGTTAAAAATCATTGTTGGAGAAAGTGAAAAGAGAGCTGATGAGAGAAACATGGTAGAGTTTACGAAACAAAACAAAACAAAGTGATTATAACATGTTTTGTCTAAGGTGAAATAAACCTAATTGTGTTTCTGAGGAAGCGCAAAGAGTGGATGTTGGTTCAGTTAAATTCCATTTTCCCCTACAAATGTCTATAATAATTTCAGATAGTTTATCTTGTTCTGTTTCATCTCAAATAGTTATTCAAAAATGACTTGGTTTCATTTTTGTATTCTCTGTTCAGAAATGAACAATCACAAAAGGAACCTTTGATGTATTAAGCAACCAAAACTCCCACTGCCAATCCTCCCTTAAAGTGAATCATCAACCCATTGTTTATTGAGGGTTGCTTCATTTATTGGACCAGAAACCTAGCTGACTTCTATAATTTCCATCATACGAAGAGCCTACTCTTGAAAGTACCATTTTAGCCAACAGTTCAAACTTTTCTCCATCTAGAGTATTCATCAGGGCGTTCTCTTTTTGAAGGATTCTCCTGCTATAAAAACATTCAGCTCCCGGACAAAAGACATATGTTCAAGGCATCGCTGAATTCCCATGAGGTGAGGGAGAAAATAAATAGGAAAACATATACACAAATAAACAAAATAAAACTCCCCTTGGCTCCTAGCATAAGCAAATTCACATTCCTTCTGGAGAATAGGAACCTCAGTTCAGATCAACTAAGATCGGCAAACTATAGGTGAGAATCAGCAGACATACAACTGCCAGAACTTCAAAGAACAGAATTACCAAATATAGAATAATCATATACTAAATATCTAAAGAATTAAAATACAGTCATGAAAAATAAGTAAGCAATATGATGAAGGGCCATGCATGGTGAAAAATAGAAACTTCAAAAATGAAAAATCATTGGGACCGAAGACCCTCTGCCCAGACTCACCCTCCTGCTCCTCAGGAGCCAGAATAAGCCAATCAGCAACCATCTACATCTCAGTTAAGAGTGGCACCTTTAAAGGATTTTGACAACCAAAGACCCTCTGCCCAGACTTCACTCTCCTGCTCCTGGTCTAGCCAGGAGTCAGATTTAACCAAAAAACAAACAAACAAACAGACAGACAAAAAAAAAAAAAAAAAAAAAAAAGAAAAAAACAAACCCACAAGAGAACAAGAAAAACCAAGAAACATGAGAAATGAAGAAAATATCTCTACTCTAATGAAAAAGAATAACTCCTCTTCCTCCACAAAGAATACAAGGGAACTCATGGAAATGTCAGATAAAGAATTTAAAATATTCATAGTGACAAAGCTAACAGAGATGCAAAAGAATAAAGACAATGAACTCCAGAATATGTGAGAGAAAAGAGACACTGAGTTCCAGGAGATGAGGAAGTTCTTCCACGATCTGAAAGAGGAGATACACATCATAAAAAAAGAATCAAGTGGAATTGTTAGAGATGAATGCTGTAATACAGGAAATCAAAACTTCCATCAAAAGTATCAAAAGTAGATTAGACCATGCAGAAGATTGAATCTCAGATTTAGAAGATAGAACCTCTGAAAAATTCACAAAAAAAGACTGAGAAAATACCCCCCCCCAAAAAAATAACATACAAGTTATACTAGATACCATTAAACGCCCAAACATCCAGGTCATCAGTATCCCCGAAGGTGAAGAAACTAATAAGGGCATAGATAATCTATTCCATGAAATCCTGGAAGAAAATTTTCCAAACCTCGAGAGGCACTGAAATATCGAGGCCCAAGAAATATAAAAGAACTCACATAGAGTCTACCCAAGAAGAATCTATGCATAGAATCTTCCCCAAGGCACATCATAGCCAGATTGACCAAAACCACAGAAAGGCAAGATACTAAAATTAGCAAGAGATAAACATCAAGTTACTTTCAAAGGATATCCCATAAGGCTAATGTTGGACCTCTCATCAGAAACAATGCAAGCAAGGAAAGAATGGAAAAATATATTCAAAGTGTTAAATGAGAAACAATTTCAACCAAGAATACTATACCCAGCAAGATTATCTTTCACATGAGAAAAAAAGACAAAAACATTCTCAGATAAACAAAGCCTGAAAGAATTTACCAACACCGTACCAGCTCTCCGGAAAGTGCTGAAGGGAGTGCTATACCAGGACAACTAAAATCAGACACACAGAAATAAGAGTACAAGAAACAACTAAAAGAATGTCCAGCCTAATGGTAAGGACAAGTCCAGAGTTCAATGTTAACTTCCAGAGTTTAAATGAAAAGATCAGACCACAATAACAATGCAGATTCTATAGAAGAGAGACTAATTACGTGAGTCTGAACTAGTGAAATAGAATCTTTTGACTTTAGACTAAAAAATTACTGATTTTCTTCGACGCTTTGATTTCCATATTTAAGGATTTTTGTCTTCTCTTGAACTTTTGACAGGCTCATCTACCTACTATTTGAACTGAATCCTAACCTTTTCTCCTGGCTTTAAGTTTTAAGCGAATTTCTCTTAACTTTTATTTTGACCTATTAAAACTAAAATTTTTTAAAAAATTAAAAAATGCTTATTAATATCTACTTGATGACTGCAGTAACCTTTATAGCCCCAGTGAGGTGCTACTTTATAGTATGTTCACTTTATTCACTGAGGTTTACGCCTAAAGTCAGACATGCATTCTTAAATATGTATATATCAACTGTGCTTGATATCGAAATAATTTAATTAAGATCTATAGTAATACAATAAAATGTGGAAAAGATTATGAAAGCCTATTTGATGATGACAATGTGGATAGTAATGTCTTTGTCTTGACTGATATGCATAGTACATGCTGGAAAAAGAAATGTAATACACTGTAAAGGTATATGTAATTCAATGCAAAATAAAGATTATGATAATAAATGAAAGAAAAACATGTAAAAATATTTAAACAAAAAAATTAATGTTTAAGTCCATAATTTAAAAAAAGTTATAAAGAAAAAATAAAATAAATGAAAAACTTTTGGAACCATACCTAATTTGATGAATTTAACAGCAGATCAGAAAAAATTAGTGAATTCTAGAAGGTAGTGAAAAATTTCCCCACATGTAAAATAGAGACAAATGTACAGGAAATGTAAAAGAGAGACTGATAGAGGTTAAAATGAAGATGTCTAGCACACAAACACTGGATTTCCAGAAGGAAAGACTGGTAGAGAGTCAGTTTTTAAACTTGTTTTACATTCAATCACTGTATACCATTCCAGCTTACAAAGAGAATTCTTCCAGCATGAATACACTGTATATTAGACCAGTCAGACATCCTGTCATACACATTATCATCAACAGATAATTTTCCATGTTTTGTGTTCCTTAAATGTTTTCCCCCTTGATTCCCTCATTCCCACATCCCCCCATCTTCCACTCTCCTCCCACACTATCACTAGTACCCACAGTTAGTACAAACAGCCAAACAGCATATAAAAAAATGTTTAAGATCCCTTACTGTAAGGGAGATGCAAATCAAAACTACAATAAGATACCACCTAACCTCAGTCAGAATGGCTAAGATTAAAAATATAAAGAAAAATAAGTGCTGGTGAGGCTGCAGTGAAAAGGTGAGGCATATTTAAACAGATAAAGACGAGTATTTTCCAAAACCAATCAAAGACTAGAATCTAAGAACGCAGAAAGCAGAATATGTATCACCAAATAGGAAAGCAGATTTAAAAGTAAAGACACACTCAGGTACACTAAGAAACTCTACAAAGCAACCAGAGAAAAAGTAAAGATTATTTACAATTGGGAAATTATAACAGAGTTCT